GGAGTAGAGGGCACATATTTTTCTAGAGAGATTCAAGAGGATCCCTGATAACATACCCTTGAGGTGGTTGGCCTTCTGGCTTATGTTATAGGAAGCAGCTAAGGAACATTGGTCACTGTGTTGTTTGGCCTAGATCATTTCCCACATTCACATAAGGCTGACATGTTCTTGTTGGGCTGTACAAAAAATAAGTCCTTGGAAGAACAGTCCAAAAATTGATAGACTAATGAAGATATATTAAACTGAGTTTACTCTGCATCAGCTTTAGGGTATGGCTGTAAGAAGGAACAGGTCCAGAAAATTCAGCTGTCCTGTGGATACATATACCTGAAAACTGATCTTTCCTTGAAATTCTAGATTGTGAAGGGTAAAACTACTTCCTTAACCTCAGAAGGCTCTCAGAATGATTCAAGTCATGTAATGTGCCTAGTTTGGAGGTCTTTTGTGATGCAGATAACAGATAACAACATCTAGCATCTCTATGCAAGTGTACAACAACAGAAAATGCCGGCCTCTTAAAAACAGTTTTGAAACATATCCAGAAATAAAGATGCTGCCATGTAACATGTTTTTTGGGTTCTTGAAGGAAAATAACATACACTTTTCTCAGTAACAAAAACACTTCTGTACTGCTCTGTAGCCTGATTTGAGGCTCTGCCTTAGAAAAGACCTTCAACAGGAAAGATATGGTCAAGCCTTCCATTTTTCTTCTCATTTGTTCAAGTAGAAAACTTACATGACATGGATAGACAAAAAACTGCCTACATTAATTTAAAAGTCAATTTAAAAGAATATTCATATTTGTAGCATATAATTACACAAAACTGTTGGATGGATAACTTTATAATCAGAAGGTTGACTTAAGAAACCAGTGGAAAGAAGTTCCCCATGGCATCTGTCCCAAATAGAGGACAGAAGAAAAGAGAGACAAGCGGGCACCACTTGACTTGTCTATAAAATCAATTAATTTGCCAACAGAAAACATCCTAGACATCAAGAAAAAAAAAAAGAAAAAAAAAAAGGTAGTCATAATGGGGAGAGATTTCTGGATTTGACCTTGAAAAAGTTGAGCTTCAACACAGATGTCATTACAATCAGCCCAGTCTCAGCATTCCAGTTTGTAACAGGAAACTCAGAAGTAATTTGGCAGAAACCTTTTTCCACAGCCTTGTTCTTCTCCAGCATTACTGTCTCAAACACCTATTTCTGTCTAGCTCAAAGGAGTTGATTTTTCAGTGCAGCTGATTAGTGTTTTCATGCCTAAACTTCTGTGGAAAGAAAAGTGTGTCATCAATTGGTCACAGACCATGGAATTCTCTTGAAAACTGTACTGTCCTGCTTGGAAGAAGCCATCACAGTACAACTAGCTCAAATGCAGCATTTGGTTACTGAGATTTTGTAGGCAGCAACTTGGGATTTCATGTATTAATTCTAGATCACTACTCTGTCTATTTTAAGATGGTTTTTTTATTACTCTTATCATCTGCAACAGGAAGCAGACATAATATTACAAATAAAGGAAAACAACAAAGTTCACTGCTGCATTTCCATGTAGACATCACACAAATCAAACATATTCAGCTCTGGCATCTTTGAAATCAAACTCCTTTTTCTTATCTACCTTACAGTTGGCAATAGCTGGTGCAAAAGCCAAAGGAAGAGAAACACCTACAAAACCTGGGCTGTAAAACTTAGACAATGGGACTAAAGGGATGTTAAAATATCAACTAATCCATCTCTTTAACTCCAAGGTTGGACCTACCCTTCCTAATCCATTATAGAAAGATATTTGCTCAAGTGGTTCATGAAAACCTCCAGTGAATAAACATTCGTAGCTTGTACTGTCAAAGCTATTTCCTGGGTTACAAGGCTTATTGATAGAAAGTTTTTCGTAATGTTAAACCCAAACTTCCTTTGTTTCAAATATAAGCCCACCCACAACAGGTATGAAGAATAATTCACATCTTTCTCCTTTGCAACAGCCCTTACAGCCTGAGTAGAATACACCCAGGTCTCTCTTCTCAGTGTTATCTGTTCTCAACATAAATGATCACAGAGTCTTGAATTTACTTAGCCTTAGAGGAGATGCAGAGCAGAACAGGAGGTAATCATGAAAAATCTTATGAAAAAAATCACAAGCCTTGGGGAAGTTTAAGCATGAGAAATTACAACACAGTAATCATGGCTAAATTGCATCAAACTGGGGGGTTCTTGTGACATCAGCACAGGCTGTACTAGACTAAGTGGATGAAACAATAACTAATGGTAACTAACTAGATTCACTGCAGTAAGTAGGAGTTTCTACCAATGATTTCAGTGATTTCTCCTCACAACCTTACGCTTGACTTGTGATCAAGGAAACGAACCAAAGTACAACACACAGGAGAGTTCTAGAATGGTATTCGGTACAGAAGAAACATGGAATAGGATAAGAAACAGAAAAGTCATATATCTGATGTGTTAATTTTCCTATGCTGCTTTTATAAAGGCAGATAGGCAAGAGGAAATAGCAAGTAATCAAAGTAAATGGCAGAACACTTCTTGGCAATTCTATTGTGAAAAGAAAACAAAAACTCTGGGATCTGGAGGAGAGTGCTCTCCAGATCTACATTTACTTGATGAATTCAGGGTGTGATCCGTTTGTTTTACACATCATGGCAAGTGACTCGCTTTTAACATTTTGGAGAACTCAAAACTAGAACTACTGCAGAAAAAGAACTGCAGTGCAATTTTCCAGAGCTGTATTCATGTTTCTTTATTCATAAAGTATGAAAAAATATTCCTCCTACAGAATGCCTGAGGAAATAAATAAGGAGCACATCTGCTGATTAAGATGCCACTGCTGTTGACTACAGAGTTGGAATCAATGGTAGCCTTTTCTCTTAGTGGACTTAGGACCAGACTGTAATTCTACTAGAAAGAGACAGTGACCCATTTAGGATGATGATATGTCTAGCTTGTAACTATTGAGATAAGGATCAGGTGACAGTTCTACCCATCACACTCAACACCATTAGGCTCCCTTGCCTAAGGACTTACTGACCATCATTAATCCACCAACAATGCATTGATGGTTACACTCTTAAACTGCTGCCTAGCTCATAAATAAGAGTCTTAGAGTCTCAAGGTTATTCTCGCTAGAGGAAAGGTGTTTCTTCATCACACCAGGGTCATGAGGCAGCTTCTGCTGAGGTTTTGCAGCCCTATTTCCACATTGTCTCACTTCTCTGCCAGCCAACTCCATCAGGGAAAGCAAAGGGATATTCTTTGGAAAGGACAGCGAAGATCATCCCCGGTTCTGTCACAGCAAAACTGATGACATCTCTTTCCCACCATCTTTCTCTTCAAGAGAAAGTAATGTGTCTTCTCCCTTCAGTTCAGGCAGTCTTAAGGCTCACTGGAGTTACTTTACATCAGCAAAGAGCTGTCTAATAGTGAGGAGAGACATCTTAACACATCCTCTTCCAGACAGAACTCTGCTGCCTAAGGCTAAAGGTACTACCTCTTTAGCTCTGTCAAGAATTAGCTTCATTTCTCACCACAGAAAGTAATTTTCACATAAGTTCCAGCATCCTTCTGAGCTGCTTTATATCCATACCCCAGAGTTTTATTTAAGATTCTGTTTTCCCCTTCCTCTAGCCTGCTTTGCATTTTTTTCCTCAAAATAATTCATTATCAAGGGATATGTACTGGGCTATGTAAATGCCAAAGAAGTTATTGCCTAAACAAGACCAGGCTATCTCATAAATCACCTTGACTGAGCTAATGGGAGCAGTGCCAGGTATGAGCCAGTTCCTATCTGGAAGCTGCCCAAATGGATTGGACACAATACTGTCTCCTGCAAAGAGCTGAAAATTCTGAGATCGTGAAAGTCATACAGCAGATTCTGCTGGGTCTAAAATACCTATGACAGTATCCTGCAAAGAGCTCTGATGTTGTGAGAGCTAAGACTCATGCACTCACTCCGCTTCTTGTAAGGCTCATTAGACATCGCATTTCTTGGTGACTTTCACTACCAGTACACCTTCCTCACAACTCCGAAATCACCCAACAGACTTCTAAACAGGGGCTGCAGTCTCAGTTGGGATTAGCAGCCCCTATAGGCGTGGTTTTATGCCCTGACAAGAGAGCCATCTGAAAATTAAAAGCTTCTGGAAGATAAGAAACCAGGGGGCTTGCAGGACTTGTAGCAGTGTTAGGACTGCTAGCACAAAAGATGCATATACAAGTACTCTCAGGAAGGTGAGGCTTCAGGTAAATAAATTCATGCAGGCAAATATTTTTTACAGCCAAAATAAATAAAGATGTCATTCCTCTATTTTACACCAAAATCCACTGCTCTTCAAGAGGCAAGATCTAAAGCAGACTCTTCTACTCACTGCTGGTATACCCAGACCACACAAAACCTAATCACAGAGGAATGTCAATTTGACACAGTCAGAAACAGAAGCCCTTTCTTAGTATTTCAGCAATTAACATGTGTTAGCCTGTCACAATCAGCTAATATCAGCAGATATCAGACTGTTCAATTTATCATCTTTCGTATCAGATTGTTGTCAGGTTATCCATATTTAATCAGAAGACAAACCAAGACAATAAACCAACAGCAGGAAACTCAATCCAAGACGTGTGTTTCTATTCAGTGGTTCTGACACAATGTACTGAAAGATAAAGGGTGAAATCAACATCTGTTTTATTTATGAAGACATAGGACAATGGAGGATTTAATTTCTCTCTTTTCAGGCTGCAGTTTTCTACTAAATGAAATGTCCTCTTTCCTTACAAACGCAGTTGGCTCCTATCACTAACTCTTCCCACACTGGAGAAACAGATGAGGCAGTATTGCCAGGTCATTCATTAACAGAAAAGCAAACTGAGTGCATACACTGGCTATTTTCTACAGGTTTTGGAGCCTACTCAGATACTGAAATAGGAATTATAAAAAGATTGCTACACGGGTACTATTTTTTAAATTTCTAAATCCCATGCAGTATACTTACACTGCCCATTCAAGCTTCTCATTCTTGATTGAATTGTAGAGGGCCTGTAAAGGGAAAGAGAGGAGATGTAATTATTTTTACCTCTACTACTCATACATTAATATGCTAATAAAAATTACTTAACTCTACCAGCAAGTGAGCAGTCTGTGATTAAGAACCACATCTGCTTATGGCAAGACAAAAGTCTTGAGCAGAAATTGTTAGAGGAAAAGATAACAAAATAAAGAGTTTGAGAATACACTCATTTTCTAGAACAGAATCATTTTATTTTTTATTCTTAAAAAATCCCAAAAGTTTGCAAAATCCACACAACTAGAGTCCTACATGTCACTGTGAAATTTAAAGTCACATTTAATTCCTGCTGAACCCAGTTAGACGTTTTGGCCATTGACATCAATGGAGACAAGATTTCACCACATGGGCTTTCCCATAAAAATACACCAGGATAACTATCCAAAGCCTCTGGACCTCAGATACACCTGAATACTTTCTCCCATTCAAATATAAATATATTTAAGTGTAAAACAGAAAATAAATATATATGCAGTTTTTCTATTTGAAGATCAATGTCCTAGACTGCTTTCTGCTAACAAAGTTGTTCTTTTACATTAAATGACAGAAGCTAGTAGGTTTGACAACAGGGATCCTAATTCTGTTGTTGATAACCAGCCTACAATGAAAAGGGAGGGTGACTTAAGCCTGGGGAGCGATCAAATAGTTGAGACAGATTTCTTCTGAGAGGAAGGATATGCATCACTTGGATAAGAATATCTGGTTTCAGCTCTTCATTAGATGATACATACAATAGATAAAAGCCTGCAATAACTATAAGCTAATGGATATGTTCAAATAGGGCACTTGACTCAAGTAAAGTATTTTGGTATGGAATGTCCCTGATTCTCGCACTTATAATCCACATTTGTGATTTACCTTATATACATAGCTAGATTTACTCCCTCTGGCACATAACTCCTACACAACCTTGAAATATGTTAATGTGTAGAAGAACTGTTGATGCACATGATTACCAAAAAGTAGCACATCAAGTACGAAGAAGTCTGAAAATCACATACTATAATAGCTATGACATGCTCAACAGAAATGTTAGCACTTAAATAGTCTTAAGTCTGACCCAAACCAAAAATAATTTGGAAGATTACAGAACTGAAGCTAGTCTTGTGTCTTTATCACAATGGAATTCACAATGGGAATCCCATGAAAATATTCCACTGCTCATCCTATGATCCTCTGACTCCCTTCCACATATTGCACAATCTATTTGAAGATCCTTAATATTCAGCTTTGTGAAAATCTGGTCTGCTTGAATCATACAGAAGTAGGTCAAACACACTAGTAAAACTTGTTTCATGCTGATGCTGCATATTTAACAACTTTCGGGCACTGTGTGCCATAAAAGTAGGTTCCTCAGAGTGATGGAACAGATATGACCGTCAGGAAGAATCATTCCCCATGCTGCTCACACTACTGGAGAGGTTCCCAGCACTGAAGACTTTCCTGCACTACCCATAGTAATGTGATGAAACATTTTCAACTCTTGAGTGCTCACTGTCTGTTCATCCAAATATGTACGAGAATCTCTGACCCAAAGGCAAAGAGCCATATCAAGGTGAAGGAAAGGGATTTGCTGGCATTTTGTAGGCAACTTGGTTAACATTCAGATGTGAGTTAGTAGGAGATTGTAAGGATACTCTGCAGGAAAAAACAAACAAACAAAAAAACCACAAAGGGCTTACATTTTTCCTACCATGCAGCCAGCAGTCTTAAAGAATTACATGCACTTTCATTTTTCTGCATAAGCAGAAAAGCAGCACTGACTGCCTGGGGTTGCACAGTACTTTAAATTAGAAGCCACAACACTTCCAGTGATTCAATCAAAGCACTGTTATTATTTTTTACTTGGCCTTTTTCCTCTATTACTATTAAAGCATTTTCTTACAGTTTGAAGACAGAAAGCTATTTCTCAGTACAAGGTAAAGAGACAGAATTTTCCCCCAGTTGGCCGGACAAGCTTTTACAACATAGCCTGCCCTCAGGTATTAGAAATGCCTCTTGTTGCTCTCTAGCCCAAATATCAGATTAGGTCACAGTGTCTGAAAACGAACACTTGCACTGTGCAGTATTGCTTTTTATGGATTTTGCTGCTAAGGAGGTCTCTAAGGATCATTGCAGCCAAAGAGCAGGACACATAAAAGCAGATCTCCAGATTGGTGAATGAACAACAAATGCCCCAGGCTTTTGCCTTGTGGAAAGTGACATGTGTTTGTCTCAATCTTTACATTTAAGCCAGACTCCATTTTTCTTCTTTAGAGAGTAACATACAACAATCCAGTCATATGGCATACACTGGAAAAAGGACAGTGTCCCCCATGGAGCATCAAATACAACCTCTCAGCAAGTGTCCGCTATTTGCAAGATGGAAGAGCAAACCTTAGAAAGTATCCACAGCCCAGGCAGCTGTGTACAGAGCATGTTCACTGAGACCTTGGTGAGCAGACTCTTAAGGAATGGCGATGCATCCGCACTCAAACTTGACTCCTCAACCCACCTCTCTAGCAGAGATTGCTGTGCATTGGCCACTGGATGCACGAGCCTTTTGGAGCTGCTTTGCATTCTCTCTCCAACAGTGTTTATGCATTAGCATATTCCCAATATCTGCTGGGCTCTCTCAAGATACAGAGATTACTTTCCTTCTCCCATAGTTTGCAACCAGTAGTAGACGTGAACAGCCCGGCACCTGCTCTGTCACTTCATGGCTGTTTCCCAAGACCCTTATTCAGACAGCAGCTCCTTTCAGAAGACATCTCTCTGGAGTATTATTAAATCAAACAAACTTGAATACAATCACTTAAATGCTTCATTAAATTGCAACAAAGCTGATCAGAGATTATGGTAGGAACTTGACTAGGTTCAAGGATAGGTTTTACAAACTCATGTCTCTTTTTCTGGAATACGAAAAAAACACCTTGATTTAAAGCACAGTTACAACTTGACAACAGTTGGAGCTTCTTACCTGCTATCCTGGGAAGTGTTTAGCTGATTTACCACCTAAGCCAAAATCAGGAGGCTGAACCACAGCAGGGAATGTCAGAACTAATGTTTCATTGGTGTCACCTTCCAAGCTGGTCTGATACCACTTGGAGAGATTCTTTCTCAGCACCCAAGGCTACTGTAAACAAGATCCAGACCCCCAGCTACCAGCAACTCAGCAGTATCCAATATCACTGTTTCACCTTCTAAGCCATATTACAGAACCCAAAAATCTATGGCCTAAAGTTTTTCCTTTTTTGAGAACTGCTAATCTCTGGGTCCATCATACTCAGCACTTCTCTGAGCTTCCTCAAGAAACAGTTTTCAAGGGAGAATAAAATAAATTATCTGGTATATAAAACAGAATAGTACAAATCATTATCAACTCCAATGCTGTTTCCTTTAGTTACAATTTGACCCTTAACAACTCATAGTGTCTAAAAAAAAAAAAAAAAAAAAAAGAGAGAAAAGAATAAAGTGGAATTTCTTTGTTCATAAACTGGGCAACAAATGTGGACTTTCTTTTTTTAAAAGAAATCAGAAAGCTTATAGCTCCATCAGAAATCACTAAATTCCATCCTCATTTACCCTTTGGTAGTAGGTAAACTAGAAATCTAGATTTCAACAGTCTTTCAGCAATCAGTAACTTTATTGCAATTGGAAAAAGATGCAACACTAAGCAGATAGCCCTCCTGAAAACTCCCATTTATTTACAAAGCTGACAAGAAACAAAACATAAAAGGTCACTTTGCATCATTACCTTCCTCAAAACCCTGCCAGACACGAAAACCTGAACCCATTTAAGCAGGCTGCTCTCAGCACCTGCCAGCTGCCTGCTGTGCTGTGAGTCAGTCTCTGCATGCAAAGCAGAGGAAGACACAACCAGGTGTGTACACAGGGACAAAGACATTGGGAAATGCAAAGGTACTCATCAAGGTAAACTGTTTAGGTAACAAAGCCTGCCCAATAGAGCACAAGGAAATGAAGATCTCCTGGGGCATTGCATGAGCCCTTCCTTCAAAAGGCCAAATAAGATAGGCTCTTGAAGCATATTTTTTGTAATTGCCAGTTTATGGTCACGCTTGCATCTATCCAGAAAAGCCTGTTAAGAAGAAAATACACCACTGATACTTTTTTACACCTGCTTTGTGCACAAAAGGGAAGGCAGCAGAAATGACTGCCAAATAGGTAAACAGGCAAAACCAAATCCAATTTTGGAGAGTCAGAATCACCCAGACCTGTTTTGCATTTGTCAGGCTCTTTGCTCACATCCAGTTTTGCCCCGATTTCTACAGTCATTCCTGGGAAAGAACTATCTGACCACTACAGGAAATGGAAACACAGCACATGGAAAATATAGGCGAGGTGGTTGGTGGTAACCAACGTGGCTTCACCAAGGGTAGGTCACATCAACAAACTTGGTGGCCTTTTATGATGGAGTTGAAGAATCACTGGATAAAGGAAGAGCAACCAACTACCTGGACTTGTGCAAAGCATTTGACACTGTCCTGCATGACATCCTAGTCACCAAACTAGAAAAATAAATTTGATATGGACCATTCAGTGGATAAGGAGTTGGCTGGGTGCTTGCACTGAGAGAGTTGCAATCAATGGCTCAGTGTCCAAGTGGAGACCAGTGACAAGTGGCATTCTTCAGTGCTGGGACCGGTGTTATTGAATATCTTTGTAGGCAACACAGACAGAAGGATTGAATGCACTCTCATTAAGTTCGCAGACAATACCAAGCTGAGTAGTGCAGTTGACATGCTAGAGGGAAGGAATGCTATCCAGAGGGACCTGGACAGGCTTGGGAAGTGGGCCCATGCCAACCTCACGAAGTTCAACAAGGCCAAGCGCAAGGTCCTGCACCTGAATCAGGGCACAGATTCAGGTTGGGCAGTAAATGGCTTGAAAGCAGCAGGAGAAGAATTTGTGAGTGTTGGTTGATGAAAGACTCAACATGAGCAGGCAATGTATGTTTGCAGCCCAGAAGGCC